GCGCTGACAAAGCTGGTTTTGGGGCCGGACTGAACCAGTTTGGGGCCTTGACCAAGCTGGTTTTGGGGCCAGACTGAACCAGTTTGGGTCTCCAACCGAGCCAGTTTGGGGCCAAACCAAGATGGTTTTGGGGCCAAAACGAGCCAGTTTGGGGCCCTGACCAAGCTGGTTTTGGGGCCAGACTGAACCAGTTTGAGGCCCTAACTGAACCAGTTTGGGGCCCTGACTGAGCTGGTTTTGGGGCCAAACCAAGCCAGTTTGGGCCTCCAACTAAGCCAGTTTGGGCCTCCAACTAAGCCAGTTTGAGACCCCAGCCAAGCCAGTTTTGGGGCCAAACTGAGCCGTTTTGGAGCCCAACCGAGCCGTTTTCGGTGCGCGCTGACGCCTGCCTACCCACAGCGCGGCGCTGGAGGCCCTGGGCATCCCCTGCTACCTGGGGGGTGCGGCGCGGGGGCTTCTCCCCCCCGGCAGCCCCCTCCTCCTGCGCCAGAACCGCCGCGACGCCCTCCGCGACGCCGACCTGGTGCTGCTGGCAGGTACCGGCATGGGGTGGCATTTGGGGACACCCGCTGCGGTCCCCTCGTCCCCATCCCGTCACCCTACGTGTGCGTCCCCAAGGTGCCGTCTGTGATTTTCGCCTCTCCTACGGGCGCCTTTTCGGTCGCCGCGCCGCTATCGTGGCCGTTAACCGGGACCGGGCGCAGCTTCTCCGTAATTCCGATGTTTTCTGGAAACCCCGGCTCGCCGTTCAAGGTGAGACCCCCGTCGCCCTGCCCTGAACCCCCACCCCTGCCTGAAATGGGCTGCGTGGGGTGCGATGAGTTGGGGCGTTCTCGGCAGGCGACGCCGCCTCCTTCGTGGCGCGGTTGGCGCGGAGCCTGCGGGGCTACGCCTGCCCCCGGGGTTGGCTGGAGGGGCTGCGGGAGGCCGATCGGAAAAAGGAGCAGGCGAACCGGTGAGTGCCTGCGGGACGGGGATGGGGACGGGGGATGGGGACAGGCGTGGGGACAGGGATGGGCACGAGGATGAGGACAGGGCTGGGGACAGGGAGGGGATGGGGACAGGGCTGGGGACAGGTGTAGGGATGAGGATGGGGACAGGGAGGGGATGGGGGCAGGGATGGGGACAGGGACAGTTAAGGAGATGGGGACAGGCTCAGGGACAGGCACAGAGATGGGGACAGCGGTGGGCATGGGGACAGGGAGAGGCACGGGAATGGGGACAGGGACTGGGATGGGGACAAGCATGGGGTCAGGGACAGGCATTCCCAGTCCTTGGGGGATCCCAGCCCGTTGCCAACTGGGAGGATGTCCCCATTCCCAGTCCTTGGGGGATCCCAGCCCATTTCCAGCTGGGTGGGGGTCCCCATTTCCAGCTGGGGAGTCCCCATTCCCAGTCCTTGGGGGATTCCAGTCCATTGCCAACTGGGAGGATGTCCCCATTCCCAGTCCTTGGGGGATCCCAGCCCATTGCCAACTGGGAGGGGGTCCCCATTCCCAGTTCTTGGGGGAACCCAGCCCATTTCCAACTGGAAGGATGTCCCCATTTCCAACTGGGAGGATGTCCCAGTTCCCAGTCCTTGGGGCATCCTAGCCCATTGCCAACTGGGGGGCCCCCACCCCCATTCTTTGGGGGCCCCCACCCACCTCTTCCTTGCCTGGGGCGGGGGGGGGGGCTCCCCCCCCAAACAGGGAGAAGGCAGCGACCCCCACCCCGCAACACCTGAACCCCCTGGACCTGCTGCACCGCCTGGATGCGCTGCTGCCCCCCGAGAGCCTCCTCGTAGCCGACGGGGGGGACTTCGTGGGCACCGCCGCCTACATCGTCCGTCCCCGCCGTCCCCTCGCCTGGCTGGACCCCGGTAAGGACCCCGCCGCCGCCCCGGGCACGCTGTCACCGTAGGGGACGCACGCAGACGGGTGACGCCGCCGGTTGTTGTCTCCGTAGGAGCTTTTGGCACGTTGGGAGTCGGCGGAGGGTTCGCGCTCGGCGCCAAGCTCTGCCGTCCCGACGCGGAGGTACGGGGATGCGGTGGCTCGCGGGGACGGCGGCCGCCGTGCCGCCCATGTGGCCTCACGGTGTTTGTCCCCTCCCTGGCACCAGGTTTGGGTCCTTTACGGTGACGGCTCGCTGGGCTACAGCTTGATGGAGTTCGACACCTTCGTGCGGCACAAGGTCAGATGGTGCCAAAAATGGGGTGAGGTGGGGGGGAAACGGGGTCTTGTCCCCATCTCGGGGTGTCACTGGGGCGCGGTGGCCCTGTCCTTTGTCCCCTACAGACGCCTGTCATCGCGCTGGTGGGCAACGACGCGTGCTGGAGCCAGATTGCCCGGGAGCAAGTGGCTTTGTTGGGCAGCAACGTGGCGTGTGGCCTCGAGTACCTGGGTGAGCGCTGTGTCCCCTGCGTTGTCCCCAGATTTGGGGACAGCCGGGTGACCCCATGTCATCCTAGGGTGGGTTGAGCCACGCCTGGTGGCATCGTGACACCTTGGGGTGGATCAAGCTGTGCCTGGTGGCATCGTGTCACCTTGGATCGAGCCATAGCTGGTGGCACTGTGTCACCCTGGGGTGGACTGAGCCATGCCGGGTGTCACCACGTCACTCTGGGGAGGATCAGGCCACGCCTGGTGGCATCACATCGCTTTGGGGACCATCAGGCCACGGTCAACCGTCACCTCACTTCCAGGGAGGACTGGACTGTGCCTGGTGGCACCATGTCACCCTTGGGAGGATCAGGCCATGCCTGGTGGAACCATGTCACCTTTGGGAGGATCAGGCCATGCCTGGTGGCACCATGTCACCTCAGATCAGGCTAGGCAAGGTGGCACCAGGTCACCCCAGATCAGGCCATGCCTGGTGGCACCATGTCACCTTTGGGAGGATCAGGCCATATCTGGTGGCACCATGTCACCCTTTGGAGGATCAGGCCATACCTGCTGGCACCGTGTCACCTTTGGGAGGATCAGGCCATGCCTGGTGGCACTGTGTCACCCTGGATCAAGCCATGCCTGGTGGCACCATGCCACCACGGGGAGGATGGAGCTCGGTGGCCCGGTGTCACCCATCTCGAGCCGCACCCGGTGGCCCTGTACCAGCCTAATATCAAGCCAATTCCCATGGAGGTGACAGGGCCACCACCACTGTCCCCTCCCTACAGACTACCACGCGGTGGCCGAAGCTCTGGGTGGCAAAGGCTTCGTGGTGGGTCGCCCGGACCACGAGCGGCTGGACGCCGTCCTCCGTGCTGCGCAGGATGCGTGCCGCCAAGGCCGCCCCGTTCTCATCAACGCCCTCATCGGCAAAACCGACTTCCGCGACGGCTCCATCTCCGTTTAGGGACGGTGTCCCCAAAATGTCCCAGCCGTGTCCCCAACGGCGGGGACAGAGAAAAGGGGGGGGGTTTGGGTGACATGGCCGTGTCCCCATCCCGGCGGACAGCCGCGTCCCCCTGGCAATAAAACAGCACCGTGTGCCCCCACCACCGTCCTGTGCCATCAATTTGGGTGCCAGCACCCCGGGGACACCCAAAGTGACATTTTGGGGACTGTCACCCCCTCCTTTGTCACGACGGCATCGCGCCAACACACCCACAAAGCCCGGCGGCGAGTGCAGCTTGTGTCATTTATTGCTGGTGACGGTGACAAAGCGGTGGCAGGGCGAGGGGGGGGTCAGGACACGCTGGCGGGGGGGACAGGGGACAGCTTTGTCACCCCCCCTGGCCTGCCTGCACCCCCTGCCCGGGCGCTTTAACACTGGTGGCTCAGCCCCGCCGGGCCG